TGACGGCACTCGATCGGTAGACCCGTTGACTTGCCAAATATTTGTTATTTTATTTTATTCTACGACTCGGTCAAACACATGCTGTGGTAGGCCTTGGCAAGGGCACTAGTGCAGATAGTGATCCGCCTACCTGATGATAGTGGGGAAGGGACAGTTGGCGATCGGAGGCAATTCCGGTAGTGTTTCAGGTTCTGCTACCAGGGGACGAAAGAAGGTTCCGGGCCGAAGCAAGGGCCCGACATCTGCAGACCGTTAGGGAGGCAGCAGCAGCTGCAGAGGGTGTTTTGGCGGAAGCTGCAACTAGTGCTGAAGCTATTGCCGCTCCTGCAGCGACCTCTCAAAGTCAGCATACTTCAGGAACTTTTGTTACGTCCTCAGTGTCATCTAGTGGGGCTAGTGCAGGACCCTACACAAGTCAGATGGTGGGCTCGCAGTACAGCCAACCATCTCCACCCACTAGAGAGGAGCTCGAACTCCAGCAAGTAGAGTTACTCTGCTTACAGCTAGAGAAGCAACTCAAATATACAACCAAAAGACAAGATCAGATTAGAGATCGAAAAGCCAGATTGGAGAGCAGAGAGGCAGACAAGGCTGCATTAGAAGGGATAGATGACTCGACCCTGGATGATTCAGGAAACATCATCCGGGCGAATCGGTTGAATATGAAAAAGTATTTTGACAGCCGACTGGATGACATCCAGTCAACCCTTGACCAGATACTTAGGGTCGTGCAAGGAAGGGGTGGACCACTACCCCCATATGACAGGCCCCTTTCTTCCACAGTTTGGTGACCCACCAGGTGGTACGTCAACATCAGTAGCGTTGTCGAACGCATCGGCAACTTTTTTCGCAAAAAGACGAGAGCCCTCCCTGCCATGTCACGCAGGAGTTTGAACAGAAACTATAGAGACAACTCAAGGACGACGCATAATTAACAACGCGACCGCCGAGACGGCCGAGGTCGCGTCGTCCCTTCGCCACTTCAGCCGGTGCGCCAACTATACATCCTGCAGTCTCTGAAGACAGGATAGGTTCCCCCAGGGCACAACTTGCTTCCCTAAGGGGTTGTCACCACCCTTAGGAGCGTATCCCTACCGAGTTACTGACCCAAGTGCAAAAGCTCAAATACAATTGGAGAAGTGGGTCAGTCGAGGGCGTTGCTCGCTCACTGTAGTAAAGGTACGAGCGACTAAAACGCCTATTGAACCCGAAAGTCGTTCGTCCATTAGGGCGTTGAACTCCTAAGAACAAAGCGTACGCCGGTCGACTAGGATGGTCTCAACCGAGCGTGAAACCCACAACTCAATCCTAGTCCCTTGGACATACAACTCGAAAGAAAGTTAACACCCACAAATATTTACATCATAAGGGATTGACCGCAGCCGATAGGAACATATATTTAATTTAAAATGATACCTGAAAGAATTTGAATTATCATATGGTACATTCAATAACACAATATCAAAATAAAATCCAACCACCTCGGGTAGAACTCCATTCAAAAACAATCATACATCATAAGGAATTGACCGCAGACAAAAGGAACATATATTTAATCTAAAATGATACCTGAAAGAATTTGAATTATCAGATGGTACATTCAATAACACAACATCAAAACACCTTGGGTCAAACTCCATTCAAAAAAAATCATACACCTACCAACGAGGAGTTGGCTTCCAACAATAACCTGCCGACAAGGTAGTTGGTCTGTCTCAGTGTTGACATGATGAGCCACGCTGCCAAAATCATTCATTCCACCTACCGTTGTCCTAAGATTAGGCACGCACATCCGTCTTCACATATCTTAGTTTTTTTGGATGACAGATTGCTTTGAGAATGATTCTTGATCAGGTGCATTACTTGAAGTGTTGCATCTCTCCCTCTCTAGGAAGTGGTCCGGGGTACTCCGCCTCCTCGATCGAGCACACGACTCGGATCTCAGAAGTCGGGCCGTCTCCATCGAATCGACAAAGTATCACCCCGTAGAACGGTCCACTCTGATCCATAACAGGGTCGGTTCCTAAACCAACGAACCCCGCCCCAGATGCTTCCTAAACTGAGAGAGAGCATCCACTGCAAGTAAAATTTCATTTGTTCCAATCCTCTCTTGCCCAAGGTAACTCGGACACAAAGAGTTAGAAGAGATAATGAATGAGAACTATTTGGACAGGTAAAAGGCATTTCAGATAGAAAGGGTCAATCCTCGAAAAAAGACTACGTTCGTTTGACCTTATCTACTTTATTTCAATCAAATTCATTTTACGCTGCCCACATAATTAACCATTTTCAAAACACAAGTTTTTTTGTCACGCAAACAGGTGGTAGGTAGAAAGAAGACTATTTTTTTCACCATTCCATGTAAACACAATCAACCTCCTTTGCAAGCACTCTACCTACCTGCACACTCAAAAACGACCACCGGTCCAAAAAATCCAGCAACCCATACTTCCGTCAGAGCACACACGTTTTCCTCAACCTTTTCTTTTGAACATTCAAAACAAACAGGGTCAAGCAAAGTGTCGGTTCACACACGTGTGAAAAGGAATCTGAGTTAATCAACTGATCTTGAGTGAAGTGGTGTCGAACGCGCTTTGGCTTACTCAAGAAAGCCAAGTAAGAATTTACTCGTTTCCGAAAAAAACTGCAGTCCCAAAAGTAAGTCTCAAGCTAACCGCTAACCCGTATCCGTTCCCAACTCGAAAATATCACACGCGGTAGCCCCAAGTGTGAAAACGGCGAGCCACACACGTCCCCAAAAAAAAGTTCACTAATCCGACGTATGTGCCAAGTAGTAGCAAGTGCTCTGCGTCAGTGCCAACTCGTACCAAGTGCTCCTCGTCAGTGTCAACTGGTACCAATTGGTCCCTGGCAGTCCCACACTTTTCCTTTCCATTTCCAAATGACACCGCTCGCCAAAATAACCTCCCCTGACTCTCACAAAAAATAAATAATCAGCTTCCCCTTGCTGGCAACGCCTGTCTCATCCACGTGTCCCACTAGTCCCACTGGTCCCACTTGGGCAATACACGATGTCCCGCCTTTGTTGACACAAGAGAAAAAAAACAATAGCATGTCGTTTCCTCGTCGGTTTCTCACTCCAAAATGGTATCCACTGGTGTTGTCGTTGACCCCCTGACACGCCAACACTTCACTTCCACCTAGTACCGCCTGACGGGCTCAAATTTCAGCAGCACAACGCTGCCAAAATTAGTACCGTCGGTGCCGAGAAATTTCGATAGCACTTTCCCACTAAAGTGGGAAATCACCCTGTAGTAGGTCCGTCCCGTCGGTACCACCGCCAATAAGCGTTGTCGTCCGCCGCTTGCCGTCGAAATATTTCGGCAGTATTTCCCCACTAAAGTGGAAAAATAGCCTGCTGCAGGTTCGCTCCATTGGTACCGCTGCCCACAAGTCTTGTCGTTTGCTGCTCGCCGTCGAAAAATTTCGACCGCACCTCCCCACAAAAGTGGGAAAATAACCTGCCAAAATTAATAAAAGTTGGGCCCCAGGCCCAAATTTTACTAGTGTCATGCCGCCGTGGTTCCGCAACGTCCCTGATCCTGTCCCATTGGACCACCACCAGCCAAAAGGGAGGGGATAAGAGTGCTCCCCGCCTTGGCTATGGCTGTCCTGCTCCTCTCACGCTCCACTGCAGACCTCCAGCCTCCTCCCACGTTGCCTCGGGCAGCTCCTCCAGCAGCCCAGCAACACTCAAGTGTGCTTGCCACACACTGGCAGCACGAGTGTTTTTTGTGTGGCAGTTGGGGACAGTTGCTTGTTTTATAGTGGTTGAGGAGGGTTGGACGTCACTCCAGGCCCCAGTCAAAATCGCGGGCTCACAACGAGTCCTTGATTTGGTCAAGATCAAAGGCTAACTGTGGTCGCATGACAATCACACCCTTAGTGGGGGCAATTTCTTTAACTGCCCTACTTTTCTTTTTCTTTTCTTTTCCTCAGCTATCTCGGAATTCCACGAGATAGTTGAGGTCATGACATTTCCAAATATGTTTTTCTTTTATTTTTCTGATAAGGGGTTGGAGAGATACAACCCCCTTCAATTTGATGTATCTGGACCCTTTTCCCAAGGCAGATTCATCGAGGAAAAGGCTGTACTTGGTCTTTTCCTTCTTGACCCTTCCATTTTCAGGCTCCCTCTAAAAAACAGGAGCGTGACAGTTACCTCTGGTAGCACCTCATAAGAATGCTGCAAAAAGAATAAAAAATCCAAAAGAAAAAGAAAAGAATAAAACTACTTTCAACTGCATGCGCCTGGGTCTTAACTCAGCCGGGTTCATGTTGTTGCATGCAACAGCCCCCTCCTTTACTTTTCTCTGCCCTCCCCTGAAAATGGGGACAGTTAAGGTAGGTCCTCCCCTTTCCCAACCTCTCCTGTTCTCTCTCTCCCTCAACCTCAACTCCCCAACTTCTCCCTTCAACGCGCGCACTAGGAGCCGCGAGATCTTGGATCTCACGGCCACAGTTATTCGCATCAAAACAAAGTGGTCATTATGCTACCACGCAGCCGAAAAGGCTTTTCTTCAACAATAGAGGCACTGCTGCCTCGTGCAGCCTCTCGTTTTCCCGCCGCCGGCCTTCTTTCATGCCCAAGACTACCTCGTACTTGAAAAAAAAACAGAAAAGAAAAACGAGAAAAAATAAAAACACTTACCTGTAAGAAAACCTGACTGCAAACGCGTTCAGGGTTGACGCGAGTTCCAACTGCAGTGGCCGCTGCTTTAGCAACGACGCCGTTTCCTCATTTTATTGAAGAGCCCGTTCGTCGGAAACGTGAGGATAACCCCTAGCATAATTGTATCCAGCAGGATTACATGTGTGTACCTTCGAGCCACAAAGTGCGCCAAGAACTTGAACGGCCATCTTAGGAAGGCTGGTCAGTTATTTGCAGACAGGCTAACCCCTAGCATAATTGTATCCAGCAGGATTACATGTGTGTACCTTCGAGCCACCACTTGGTAAAGGAAAAATGGTCAACTAACCCGGGCCAACAGGATACTCAGCACACTTCAAAATAACATTCCCCTTCCGTCTTTCGCTTGGTGACAGTGTCCACTCCACCACCAGGTAGCTCCCCACATCATCGATAGTGGGTATATAGTTCCTGCAAATAGTGCCAAACACAGATCAACCTGACCCTCAGTTCATTTTCAGTTTGCTGTCACCAGTACAAGTAAAAACAATCACTAGGCTCACTCACCAGTCAGTGGACTGAGGGAACACAGTGAACTCAACAGTAAGCTTCAGGTGCGATTTCAGCAAACAGTTGGGTTACAGTCCCATGCGTTAGGTAAGGTGCCAAAGGTAATTGTGAATCACATCTACTCCTACCCGGCTGTCCGATTTGCCTCGATAGACTTGCTTCAGCAGGACGAGTGCAACGATGAACCACCAAGAATAAGTTTCTTTGTCTCTTAGTTTTAACACACTGGACTCTCACACAGGTGCTCACACACAGGATACCGGGCTGTGTTCACCACCTTTCCTTTGATCTATGACACTGTGGAATCTCCTTAAGATCGAGAACCTGGGCTCAGCAGAGATGATCATCAAGACTTTCACCCTTTGTAAAGTGAGGATAATAGGTGAGAGTCCAAAGAGAATCTATCAACCAGCAATCAATATAATAAATATACAGTTCGCTCCACTTTAGTGTGGTCACTGTGGTCCCAATCAATGAATACTCAGTGAAACTCAGAAACTCCTTAAGACTAAGGCTCCCATCCCCATTTCCGAATTTATTTTTATCTTCAGCTCGATTCCGAAGTGACCCTCAGCCAAATCCTACACAAGTAACACAACACATTTTTGCAACAATTTTCCACATTTTTTCTGAACTTTTTCAATTATTTCATTATGTGCTGGGGCTGCCTGGGACCTTGCCTGACCTTGCCCAGCCAAGCCCACTGTTCGGTCACCTTGGCAGCCAGGGGCAGCTAGGCACCCGGCCAGGCAACAAACACCAAAGCCAAGTTTTGCGAAGCAGACAGCGGTTGTGGCTGGAGTCCCGGTGGACAAGACTTTGCCAAAACCCAGAGGACGTCCCTTCACATCCAGAGATGTTCTTGGAGAGTGGCCACCCATGTTTCCCTCTAATTTTCAACATGGAATTCGACTTCTTCATCGTCATCTCTTTGCATGTGTATTTCTAAAGGGATAAGTGGTGCTCACATGATGCAGCCCCTGCAAACTGCGCAGGGAAACTGATAGGCCTGTGGCAGAGCCATCCGGAGGCACGTCCCGTGACAGCCTCTCTGTGAAAACAGTCCAGACAGAACACTGAATACTGAAATTGCAGTGACGGTGCAGTGTGTGAAAGACGGACAACAACAACATGGGCTTTAACGGGAGCGTGATGAGGACTGGAGGAGGGTCTGTGGCAACATGCACATGACCATGACACAAGCGAAGGTTACGTCAACTTGGAATCTCGACTTCTTCATCGCCATCTCTTTCCATGTCTATTTCCAAAGGGAGAAGTGATGCTCACACAATGCAGCCCCCGAAAACTGCCCAGGGAAACCGATGGACCTGTGGCAGAGCCATCCGGATGCACATCCCGTGACAGCCTCTCTCTGAAACCAGTGCGGACAGAACACTGATATTGAAATTGCAGTGTGTGAAAGACATGACAACAACAACATGGGCTTTAACACAAGTGCGGTGAGGACTGGAGGAGGGTCCGTGGCAACATGCACATGATCATAGCACAAGCGAAGGTGACGTTAAGGTGATAACAATGAGGACGAAGAAGGGGGGAAACCACAATGACGATGGGGAATGGGGAAGCACATTTAGAGAGGGGGTCGACAGCCTGGCGGGCTACACTCAATGTGACAGTATGACGTTAGCCACCTACCTACCTATGTACGTACAGACCTGCCGACCGACCGGCTGATGGACTGACCCCACAGACGACCGGACAGACAACGGACAGAGAGACTGACCAACCAAGCGACAGGATCGGCGAACAGACAGACAGCCACAGACGCCAACGGGTGTGCATGGGCCCTGCCATGAAAAGATGGCCAGCCTACCCAGGCACCAGCCCTTTGGTTGGTCGCATTCACCAGGCCTGCCAACCGGTTAGCTCGCCCTTCAGCCGAGCTGGATCTCGTGTGTAAGGTTTCATGTCTGAAGCTGCCCTATTGTTATAGGGAAAGAATGAAAGCTATTCCAAACGGAATATTTGACCAATGTGGTTCTCAGTCTTCATTCTCAATCATGCTGCACTTCAACTGGACCAAGTGAGAAAGGAGTTTTATCACGCAGATATTCACAGCTGGAAGGTAGGCTTGTAATAAATGAATCAGAATGCCCCACAAGGACTCACAAATGGCTTCAATGCCAGTATAGACAAGACAGCAGGGATGGAAAAGCAGACTGATAAAACCAGGAGCCTGGTAGGCCTGGGAAAATAATCTTTCTGTGTCACTCTTGTATTTCTCTCACCCTGTGTTCCCCCATCTCCCCCCCCATTGCTTTCGTTATTTGGAACTAACTGTCCAAGGTCCAAGGTCCCAAGGCCCCATGAACTGTGACTATTGAAGGATTTCATGCTGCGAACACCTAAAAGGCCCGGCGCCAAAGTCCCCAGGTCCTGGAAGTTCCGAAATCCCAAGTCCTAACGCCCCAGTAGGCTAGGTCTGATAGGCCAGTTTGAGGCGTCGTACGTGCAAGTCGGGGAGCATCCGGAAACGTCAAGTTGTTGCACAGTCAGTCCGGTACCCAACAGAAAAGTGCAGAAAAGTGCAGAAAAGTCCAGTAAAGTCTCAAGTCCACAAATTGCTGCAAGTCCCAGGAAAGTCCGGCAGCTACCGAACCGACAAAATGGTTGCAGCAGACAGGCCATTGCTGACCGGTACCTGTCCGAAGCAGGCCAAGCCACAACAAGTACTATATTTAGCTGCTACAGTGCAGCGGCTCGTCACTTGTTCATTCGTGAAGTTGCGGAAGCGCTGCTGCTGCTTGTGTTACCAAGCGACTTGGGCAAGTCTACACTCAAAGAAGAAAGGAGCACCTATGTCAACCATAGCTAGTGTGGCCATAGGGAAGCAGGGCGGCCATAGGCGCCAAGGTCCAAGTCTGAACTGAGCGGGTGTAGGCACAATCCGAGGCAGGAGAGAGAGAGAGGGCGAGAGGGAGAGATGTAGGGCTGAGTAATACAAGGCAGGGGAGAGAGAGAGAGAGAGAGAGAGAGAGAGAGAGAGAGAGAGAGAGAGAGAGAGAGAGAGAGAGAGAGAGAGAGAGAGAGAGAGAGAG